TACAAGAAAAAGGGATCATTTCTGCAAAGGTTAAATGATTTTTCAACAATGGTAAAAACAACCAACATATGTATGTGATTTTATCAGTAGATATGGCTGCATATGTAGGGAGGCAAGTGTAATAAATGCACATGCATACATAGGTATATCTGTGGACATGTTTATACATATATTGTATGCTGGATATATATCCATATATTTAACAAACCACATAGGGGGCACTATTACAGAGGCTTCCTAAACACACCAAAACAACTTGTAGAATTGTTTGTTGAGTCAAATGCTTTGGACTAGAGTCCTGGGGAGCAATTTAGTCAATTGTCACAACACAGTTCACAAAGATAATATTCTATATCCAAGTTCAGTGAGTAGCATCTGAGATTTTGAAAGTTCGGCATCTACAATGCAACTATTGGTCTCTATCAATAGGAAACAAAAGAGAAAGAAGAAAATCAAAGGCTCAAAGTATAAACTACTTCATGGGATTAACAGCCTACACAAAACAGAGACCAGAAAAACTTGATAGCGCTTGCCTACCCTCTAGTTCTGTTTAAGAATATAATATAAAGTAAGTATCAGACAGGATGCAGGGACAGGGAGGATAAACAGAATAAAACTCAAATTCCTTAAAAAGGTTAGACCTACTAAACAAATAGTGAACGCTGGTGGTATAGTCTGCAGGGTGTGTTGCTGTTAACCCAAAACCACACCTCTCTTCTGGCAGTTTGAATCTACTAGTGGCTCCTCTGGAGAAAAATGGGCAAATTCTTCTCGTGTGATTTACAAGCAACTGAATGGCACATTACAACAACACTTGAAATATCCTTCCAATTTTCCACCAGCTTCAATGTGAGACATAACTAATACTTCACCCTGTCACCATTACATATTTAAACATGTACATTTCATGCCTCAGTTAAGGGGGGGGGGTCACCTTTGTAGTATGAGATCAACCAAAAATAATAGGTTTAAATTGGCTGGTTCTAATGGCTAATCCTTAAACGATTATAAAATCTTGAGCATCCCTAATAAACACATCTTTATCCCATGTTTTCATGATGATGATTGATAAGGATTGATCGTTTATGGTTACTACACTCATGTGTTTAAAATTGTGTTTCCAATGTGAACAGACTAATGTGTGTCTCTACTTAGTGGTATCACATAGACCTCTGTTCTTTTAACCATCAGTGGCTTGTTTTATTTGATGAGCTAGTTCTTCTGAAGTTTGATTCCTCTGCACTTCTCTGTAGTTAAACGTCTCCATCTCTCTTCTAAAAGCTTGTACCTTGTTACAAAACTCTTTAGGGCCCCTGACACTATGGAATAGAGTTAAATCTTCCCAGGTGTTCCAGCTGTTGCAAGGAGTGAGGAATGGTTCTCTATTCGGGTCTGAGTTTTAAAGAAAAGCACTGAGTGGTCACTTGTGGTGAATCCAGCACGAAAAGATGCTGGACGACTTTGAAAGTCCTTTTCTTTCCAACACTTGGATTCTGTTCATGGTAATGAATAGTGTGCTCACTCGTTCAACAAGGGATTACCGAGCATCTAGTGGGTAATCTGAGAGGCTCGGGGCTTACAGCGGAGAACAAGACAGATGTGAATCCTGTCTTCCTGGAACTTACAATCTGGAAAAGCTAGCAGACTTCAATTAAAGCAACATTAATTATGAAAATTCAGCTATTTTCAGTGCAACAAAGGAGAAGTACTCATTGCCATGAGAGTTGGTAACAAGGGGTGATGACCAGCCTGGAAGATGAGGGAGGTTTCCCTCAGAAGTTGCCTCTGCTGGTCTGGGATGAAAAAACAAAAAAGTATAATGTACTCAAACAAGCTACACAATTCAAATCTTCCAAAGCTCACAGTAAGCTCAGTAAGGTCCATCTCAGGAACATTCAGTAAAGGGACTATTGGAAAAAAATTAGACCAATGGGGAATTTTCAGGTGGATATTATTCCTTTATAAAAAGAGATCATAAATTCTGTTACATAGGTTCAGTTGCACTCATCCAGAGAAGCTAAGATTCCCCAGAAAAAATCTATCTCTAATCTTTGAAATGTTTATCTCAGAATATTACAGAATCTCTTTGTTTTCCCAAAGAAAGCTGTGAATTATTCTTATATTTTTATATATTTGTATATTCTTATATTTTTGGATATAAAAGGGAAGGTAAAACTACGGTTAACACTATATTTGTTGAATGAGTTAATAAGCGAAGAAACTTTAACAAGAAGTAGACCAAAGTCTAAAACTTTGTGTAAAAAAAAAAATCAATGCCACAAATATAACATTGGCGTTTTTCTTAACAAACACTCATGAGTAAAATCATTAAGGGGTTTAATTATCTACCACCTTACGTGGGATAACTATTATTATGAAATTTTCTGAAAGCTAACATAAACAAAAGCTATATCAATAAAAGTATAGTTTCCAAATCACAAAAAATAATTACCTCACCCTATTACTCTTCACCTGTCAGATCAACTCTGGGAGACTTGCGCTCAGTTATGAGTTTGGTCTTCTAAGATGAGTACTGATATATTTGGAAGCATATATAAGCTTATGCAAAATGAGGAAAAACTGAAGTAACTAAGGAAGTTTAGCCTGGAGAAAATTGGAAGAAAACCTGAGAGCTGCCTTTCATTATCTGACGTAATCTCATATGAGAAAGTGGTAGCTTCTGTTGTTCTGTCTCCAACCAGTCAGCACCAGGGCCTCCCACTTGGCTTTGGGACTCTGACTCAGCTTGCTCTGTGCTTCCCACACAGGCAGGATGCTACTGAATGCAACTATATACTAACTACACAAGTACCAAAAAAAAGATACTGTGGTTAACTAAGTTTGCACAAAACTGTACTAACATAGGATGTCTAACATAAAATGGTCTGAAATTTTCAAAATCTAATATCATTGTGAATATGCAAGACAAAAAGGTTTATTCCAAGTTTCCCAATTTTCATTAATCCCAGAGATCTCTTACAGCATGATATTCTTTCACACACTTAGCTCCAGACGTGTCTATTTCACTCGGCCCAGCACTGACACAGGTACAGGCGAGCAAACACTAAGCTTTAAACATGCTGCCAGTTTTCAAAGACTTCTATCCTTAAAGATCTGGTATCAAGCCTCAGCTGGATAACTCTCAAGAGATCTTACTGAGGGGAGAAAACACCTTGCTGGTTCACTGTTCATTTATACAGTAACCATGTGGTGTTGGCAAAGAATGCCAACATATGCCAAGAACTGCCACATTTGTCTTTGAGTGCAACCAGAATGCTCCTGAGGGGAAGGGATGGTGAAAGTTGGTCCCATATGTTTTGGTATACTATCAGGAGCTGCTAGTTCTTACAAAAAGACATCAGACTTAGCAGAGTAAAAAAGTACAGTCAGCAAAGGGATGGAAAACCCCCAACAAAATAGATTGACACGGTGACTGCAACAATGGGCTACAGCATGGCAGCAGGTGTGAAGATGAAGATGAAGATGGTACAGGGCAGGGTGAAGTGTCAATCTGTTGCAAGGGTTGCAATAAGTTGCAGTTGGCAACTTGGTGGCACCCAAAAGCGAAAACAACCAGTGGAGTAAGATGCCCTCTATGAGCCAGAATCTATGATCTTATGCATGTTTTAGCAGGGAGAGAAGGACTAAGCAATAGCCTTGGAATCTGTAATCAAAGACTTAGAATATTGGGAATTTATTGAGCTTTCTTTGTGGACACTCACCAACCTCTATGTCCACCAATCTTTCTTAACGCCTTCCAATTTTATCAAGTCCATCTACTACCAAGGTCAACTGCCACTCCCTCAAGGATGGGATATTAAATTGCTTAAAACTTTGTAAATTTGTGCCTCAAATTTACGAGTGCATTTTACTCACCTTACCTCACACGTGTAAGAAAAGACATAAAATCATCATTCTTTTTAGTTGAACCTAATATAAATTCCAGTTCAACTGCATAGCTGAGAGAAGGCTTGGATTTGGAACTCTTATTTTGCTAAAGGGTGGCAATAGAGTACTGAAAGGCCAAGACGATTTGTTCCTTTAGGGGCAAGGAGAGAGATGTGACCAATGAAGAATCTTATAACTTAGCTGAAAACCAACACACTGGAAAAGAATCACACCCTTGAGTGGATAATTACAAAAGAGAGAGCTGGCAGTAGGTAGGGAAGGTTAAGGATGAGGTGGGAATTCAGGTCTGAATTTGGGGCAGCAGGGAGGAGGAAAGAGAGGGTGTAAAGTGGGGTCTAATGGGCTTGAGTGTGTCAAAGATCACGAGGATTGTACAGGACACGGCCAGGTTCCCGCCTGGTGTTCACAGGAATGCTATGAGTCATTGTCAACTCTATGGCACCTGAGAATAACAACAGCAATGGTCTGGGGCCATCCCGAAAACACACCGTGTCCCACTCTGCCAAAAAAACATACACCCCTTCACAGACTAGGATGGGGTTTGGGTGTTATTTTCACGTTTCTCCATCACCTAGCAACTTAATTCCAACTTCCTACTCTCCTGTAATTTAGCTTTAATAAATCATAATGTGTTGCTACACAAAACTTGGGTCTATTAAAAGGAAAGATGTAGCACTGTGTTGAAACCTCCCTTAAATAAAAACGAAAAACTGGCTCATTCTATCATATTTCTTTCCAGAAATGAAAACATTTATAAAGGTCTCCTTGACCACTGAAGGAGGTGGGGGTGGAGATATGTTTATCACTCTATTTAATCCCTATGGACTCAATGGCCATGCCACTGAGGAGGCCCTCAAACTTCCTGCCTGGTGGATGTGATCCTCTGAAAGTAAAATTAGCCTCCCTTGGTTGAATGTGCTTGTGGCTTTTCCAATGTGTACACTTCATCAGGGCTGTTATAAATAAAATGCTATCTTGATTTAGGGCACATCAGCTACCGTTGCTATTTCCAGGGCTGCAGGAGCAGTCTAAGCTTTCACTGCAAGCAATGTTTACAGGCAGGAAAATGTTAGTGAAGAGTGCATACTTACCAGTGCCGAAGCTTTCCTCCCCACAAAGGGACAGTTTGCTTGCATCCATCAAATTTCCGAAAAACTTCCAGCCAGTTGGGGTCTCATACAAAGAGATCTTTGTAGCATTAGCCACCCTTCAAAGGCACGAAATCAAAGTTACATCACAGCAGGATGGTCAGCGTGGCCATGCGAGGGATGGAAATAGCCACCGTTATTGTAATCAAAGGTCCCATTTTGCATCACTCAGAGGTAAACATAATTCTCAGATTGGTGGGAAATCCTAAGAGAAAACTCATGCAACAAGGGACTATTATATGGGGCTTCAAGAGCAGAGGGCAGAATAGGAAGAAGAAAGAATTAACTCAGATCATTGAGTTTTAATGCTTTAGAGAAGAAAGCAACAGTAGCAAAATATGTTTAAACCTCTGTGTTTTGTATAAAAGCCACATCTACATTATTTCATAAAAAACAAAAGAGTGACGCTTGACTGCACTTCTAACATCACAGAGTCATAGAATATAGTGTCTGGGACATCATCATTTTACAGAGAAGGAAACATCTGAGCATGCTCTGTGGTCAGTCAGCCTAAGGTCACCCAGCCAGGACTGACCCAGTCAATGTACTTTTCAGTGGACCATAAAGGCCCAGAAGATATCCACTGAGGTCACCCATTTGCCTTAGCTTCATCCGCTGTGATTAGTGGCTCTCTTTTCCTCCCAATACATCATTTACTTCTCTATTTATACTATTTAGGTCTGTGGGTAGGACAAATGGTTTGTGCTCATAAAAAAGCAATTCATTTGAACACCCACCCCCTCAGCATGACAGAAGAGATGAGGCAGTCTGCTTCTGAAAACGTTCCAGCAAAACCAACCAGTCAACCAATTCAATGAAGTTCAGGTAACTCTGTGATAGAAGCGGCTGCATGTGTTGGAACAGAATTGACTCAGTGGGGTAGGTTTAGTTTGCGTGTTGTTTGACTACTGAAACTCTCCTCTGAGCATAGTTTTTAAGTTGATTTGTTTTTGCTTTTAAGATTGATTTCCCTTTAAACAAGAAAATTTATCTCATCAGTTTCATTCATTTTTCCAGCACAATGTGTTCCCAAGAATGCTTGCTTTAGTCCTAGCAAAGCAATGTCATGTTTGAATTCTCTAGCATTTCAGGAAAACTAAATTCAAGACATGTTTTAAAAACTGTGCAAAGACATTACACTTTTGTTTTAAAAACTGTGCAAAGACATTACACTTTAACCGGGGTAATGAGACATTTTACCTGAAAATCTCTACACTGCTTATAAATTTTTCTAAATATTGAAATGACATTGTTCTGGGCTGACAGAATTTGTTACAGAAATCCGATAGGTCTGTTTGCAGCATAATGACCACCAGCTAGCTCGTGACTGCAGGTGTGGAGCTGAAGCCCGGGTTCTGATTTGGCTGTGGGGTGGTGAACAAGGCTGCTCACTGCTTTGAATTGTGTGTGTGCCTCTTCAGTGAAATAAGGATTGCTGTGAGGATTAACTAAACCACACACAGCCATAACATGAGGATCAGCTCAACAGTAAAGGTAAAAGCATTTTGTAAACTATACGCCACTTTAGAAATATTTAGTAGACAGTAATAGGGAGGTCTGGTGGCCTAATGGTAAAGAAACTGTGCTGTAATCCCAAAGGCACAAAGATGGGCTATTTCCTCCCATGCAACTTACTGCCTCTGTAAGCCTGCTGGAAGGCCAGCTATGATTCAGTTCTGACTCAATAGAATACAACAAGTATGAATAATGAGTTCTGCTGGCCTAATACAGATGGAGTTATAGTCTTAACCCACAGGTAGCATCTGCCTGGTGGTTCAAAGCTACCCGCAGCTCTTCGAGAGGAAAATGGACAGTCCCTTCCTGTGCAATTTACAGCCTCCAAAAAACTGCTGGAGGTCCAGTCAGGAATCAGTTCTGACTCAGCAAGTAGATATGAATACTAGTAACTATTTTATTGTCAGCTGAAACAAAAGCAGCACTAACTCTGTAAGAGCCCAAATCTTGATGCAACCATTTACAAGCTGTGTGACTTGGGAAATGATAGTTTTCTGCTGTCCTGTTTTTCCACAAGTAAAATTAGATTATTAATAGCATTTCTTTTTTGAGGTTGGTTTGAGAATTAAGTTACTTAAAACACAGAAAGTACTTAGTATCTGGCACGAGGTAATGTTCAATAAATATAAGCATTTTTTAATAAAAAGGATCCCTGGTTGCAGCAAAAGTTAAGTGTTGGGTTGCTAAACGGGAGATGAGTAGTTCAAATTCATGAGCTGATCCAAGGCAGAGAGATGAGACAACGTCCTCCCATTAAGATTTATCGCCTCAGAAACTCAATGGAGGGTCTCCATGGCATAAAACTGTCTCAATGGCTGTAGAGTTGACTTTGGCTCTAGAGTATTAGAAGAGTCTAGATTTAAAGATTTTAACCCTCCTCCTACCTCGCTTTAATTTCCCTTGTTTTCTTTCTCCTTTCTTCTTTCCTTCCTTCTTGGTCCATCCTTCCTTTCTTCCTCTTTTTTCCTATCTCATATCTATTTCACTCCATTCATTCTGGAAACATTTGGTGGGTATATGGTATGTCCATGCACTCTTTTCCCAAATGTTTACATTTTCAGTTGTTTCAGATTTGGTCCCAGGTGGTTGTTGTTGTTGTTAATAAAACTCATAATGACCCTATGAACAACAGATATAAACCTGTTCTACCCCATGGAACCCTCACAATGTCTGACACATTCAAGCCCATTGGTATAGTCATCATGTCAACCCACCTGTCTTCCTCTCTTTCACTGCCTGCCCCTGTACTTTCCCAAGAATGATGTCCCTTTCCAAGGAATAACCTCTCCTACCAACAGGCCCAGAGTATGTGAGAAAAACCTTATCATCTTTCATATAGTCCCATAAGCTACTTTAGAGTCTCTGTATTATAAACATAAACAAATCTGAAATATTAACCACTTATTGTATCTGGTTCTTATAGAAGCAGAGGCTTTGGAGAGCAAGGCAGAGTTTGAGAGGGGAAAGAAAGTTTTGTATATGCATGTTATAGTATTTTACCACTTGACTTTTCTGCTGATTTAAATTTGGGGCAAATAAACATTTGCTATGTTTGTGTGTTCAAGACTTAAGTTTATAGGGTTGCTGTGAGTTGTATACGACTCAACGACACTTAAACAACAACAACAACATGTTTGTGTGTACATGAGCATCTGGTGAATATAGACAGGTTCTTTTCTGTAAAAGTTATATTGAAAGTCTGAAATTACTTAAGACTTTCACACAAATGCTGTGTTCATTGCTAAGGGAAATTACTACTACTCAGTACAATCAAGACCTGTTGTTGTTGTTATGTGCCATCAAGTCACCTGCAACTCACCGCGACCCTGTGTACAACAGTCCTAAACCCTGCTCTATCCTGTGCAAATAGCACTGCATCTGACACACCCATCCTGATTACCCCAGTCACTGAATCAATCCACCTCATAGAGGGTCTTCCCTCCTACGCTGTCCCTCCACCCTACCAAGCATGATGTCCCTCTCCAAGGACCGGACCCTCCTTACAACATGTCCAAAGTATGTCAGACAAAGCCCCAGAATCCTTGCCTCCAAGGAGCTGCCCAATTTAACTCTCTCTAGGATGAATCTGTTTGTTTTCTTGACAGTCCATGGTACCCTCAATACTCTTCTCCAGCACCACAGCTCAAAGGCATCAATTCTCCTTCTATCCTCCCTAGTCATTGTCCAACTCTCTGATGCATAACAAGTGATAGCAAAGACCATGGCCTGTATCAGACGCACCTTAGTCTCCAGAGTTGTTGTACATAGGGTTTTCAGAGGCCTGCTATTTCAGAAGTGGATGGCCAATCCTTCTTCCTAGTCTGTCTTAATCTGAATGTTCAGATTTAGAGGAGTATCTGACAGACAAGCAATTTATAGAACAGTGAAAGACCTAACTGACTCATAACTGACCTATGAGGAGGTGGAAGAGCATGATGGTCAGAGCACAGAGCGGGGACAGCAAACCCAAAACAACTACATCAATTCCCTCCTACCATAAAGATTTATCCAGCACATTCTATGTGCCATATGCCTAAACTGAAAGGGGAAGGATAAATCGTCCTGGCACAGGAAATAGCATGGTGAAGGCCAGTACAATCATTGACAAGGCAGACCAAGGGCAAGGGAGACATACCGGTCCAGGGCACCGCTGGTGGGCATGCTGCGAGCAAAGCCGCGTACCCCGGTCTGCTGGAAATATGGAATGCTGAAGATGTTGGCAGCAATGACAGCTACAGAGTCTGAGGGGTTCACAAAGAATCCATGTTTGCCCAGAATCATGTTCCGATCCTTTGGAAGAAAGGACATTAAAAGGAAGGCCAGTCAAACTGCTGAAAATAGCAAGCTCACTTACATGAAGTTTTTACAACATTTTACAAATACATAGTTTAACTCATGCTGAGTTTTAAACAATCAATTTTGTTCTTAATAGATTAATACAGTACCATTGGGCCCTTGGGAGTTACAACTTTTCAGTTAAAATTGCAGGTACAAATATTTGAGCTTAATATTCTATTTCTCTCTCCAAAGGCTAGCTAACTTTTTAACCTGGTAGATCTTTTACTAACACTGAAGCCAGTCACTTCTCCCTTAAAGGAGAGGAGAGAATACACTGAGAGAGAAAAGGTTGGCCATTTACAGAGGTTGGTAGGTCCACCAGACATCCTCCAAGGAGCAAAGGCAGACCTCTTCAAGAAGGGCTTCTAAATCCCGACCTTTCCATTAGCTGCAAGTTCTAACACGACATGCTGCCACCTTACTGTATCCTTGGTGCCTGGTGCAAGGATACATTTAACCAACTGAGAGCATGGTGGGGAAATTCCCGTGATGCACTACAACAAAAGACTGTATAATGGTATGTGCTATGAATTCCTTTAATTTCCCAAAATTTGGAGACTAGAAAAATTATTTTTCAGGAACAAGATTGCAACTGATCTTAGAGAAAAACAGCAACTACAAAAAGTCCATTTTCAACCAAGTGTGTATGTACAGTGTTTACGACCTTCCAGACACCAAAAATACAAACCTGAAAAAGATACTATCTTTTTCTTATCTATTAAATATTTACCAATTTAAAGAAGACCATTTTATTTTAATTAATCATTACAGAGAGAGGGAAAAAGGTTAACTTTTTTACTAGAATCTTGAGGTAGGCTATTAAATTATAGTTTAATCATCTAGCTAATGTGAATGAAGAAGTGGGTATAAATGAAAGCCAAACCCTTTCCATAGAGTTGAGTAAGTAGCCTATGGCTGGATGAGAGCAGAAACTTTCTTTTTGACAGTGCCCAGAACCCAACCCAGTCATGAAACACCAGTCATTATGACCATACCACTCTTAGTAAACCTGAATGTCTGAAATTTAGCAAGTGGGCTACACTTCAAGTATATTATTTGTGTCCTCTGCTAATTTAGCCCTGACTCCTGGTGCAATGAGACCCTCAAGGCTACTCAGCAGGTTCCTAGGACCAGGCAGAAGCACATACCACCCCACCACCACAGCCAACTTCAACCACACCCCTCAGCTCTGCCCTTTACTTCTACCTATCAGATCAGGCCTGGCCTGCATCAAAGTTTACTTAAATCCTCTTATACCCACCCCATCGCCATCAAAGGCAGCCCCAAAATCATGCTCTCCTGACTTCATGGTCTCCACCAGGTCTGCTGCATAGGTGAGGTTGGGGTCAGGGTGGTGGCCACCAAAGTCCTCCAGGGGAACACAGTTGACAGCCGAGTTTGCGGGGGCGCCGAGTTCCTCACACAGGATCTTCTTTACATACGGTCCCACAACTACGTAAGGCATGAAATAAAAGTACAAGGAATCATAAGATAAATATTTTTAAAGCATAAGAGGGCTCAGAATCATTCAGGCAATAGAATGGTATGAACAAAATGAAAATATGTAGCCGATAATCAGGGTCCAGTGAAGAGATGAGTCTAATTAGATAGAAAACAAAAAACCCTCATTGCCATGGAGTCAAAACTACTCTACAGCTGACTCTTCAGTGGGTTTTTAAAGCTGAAAATCACTTGGGGGGTGATTACTCATCTTTCTCCCACAGAGCAGCTGGTGGATTCAAACTATCTGCCTTTGAGTTGACAGCACAACTCCTTATCAATAAGCCACAAAAGCTTCTTGTGGAAGCATCTGGTTGGGAGCCCTAGTAGTATAGTGTGAAGAGAGTTGTGCTGCTAACACAAAGCAGCTCTTCTCTGTGGGTTCAAATTCTCTAGCAGTTTCATGACAGAAAGATAAGCAAGAACAGTGCACATGAAAAGAAGTTTACAAATGCCTGTGGTCAGTGTATGGGAGGAATAGTGAGGCAAAGGAAGGGAGTTAACACAGAGTCTCTGCTCCAGTGTCATGTCAGCTGCTTTTCAAGCATTTTATCTACTCAGTCCCTCAAATAGCCCAATCAGCACTTGAGTTTAGTGCTCTGGAGCCAGAGTGCTAAGTTCAAATCCCAAACAGGCCAACTATTGGCTGTGGGTAAATTAAATAATCTCTCTTTGCCCCAATGTCCCCACCTGTAAAATGAAGATCATGAGAGTTGCTACTTCACACAGGGCTAAATGAATAAATCTGAAGTACTGAGAAAAGTACCTGGAACATATGTTATAAATGTTTACATGATGATTATCATCTTCCAGTTACAGTTTTTTATAAGAAAATTGAGATTGTGAGGTAAAGGCATTTAATCAAATTTTATAGCTTGTAGGGGTTGGGAGATGGTATTTAGACCTCTTATCTTTCTACTATACCATGCTGTCTAATTGGAAGAATTTGTTAAAAGCAAACAAGCAAAAACTAGCTAAAAAAAAACCATAGAAATTTAGTGAAGGGGAAAACCAATTACATATTTTTATGGTAACACTTTGTATAACTGCTAACATTCAGCTCTAAAATGCTGAGAATGTATTTGCATCCATGAAGGTACTGACCCCAATATACACCACAGGATCAAAGCAGCGTAAAATATGTGTCTCCTGTTGGGAGCCATATGTTAAGCAGGGTGTTGACACACCACAGAATGAGGCCAAGGCAGCCAGGGCCATGAGGGATATAGAAACTGAGGCATTAGAAGAACAACTGTCAAGCAGGAGAAAAGAAGTCTACATTAAAACTAGTTCCTCCTTCCCAAGGGACCCGCACAAGCTCTGTTCTCCAGTTTGCACAAACTTCTCCTCACTCTACTAATGTGAAAGCTATTTTTAAGCCTGTAGGAAAGTTGGAAAATGAATAAGGAAGATCGAAGAATTGACGCCTTTGGATTGTGGTGGTGGTAAAGAATGCTGAATATACCATGGACTGGGGAAAAAAACCCCAAAACCTCAAACAAATCTGTCCTGGAAAAACAGTGCAGACAGAATGCTCCTTTGAGATGCAAGTATGGTGAGATTTTGCCTCACATACTTTGGACATGTTGTCAAGAAGAGTCAATTCCTGGTAAAGGATATCATGCTTGGAAGAGAGTCAATGAAAGAGAGAAAAACCCTCTGGCCTGATGCAGAGACTATAATGGGCTTTAGCACAGCAAAGGACGGCCCAGGACAGGGCAGGATTTCATTCTGTTGCACACAGGGTCAGGCTGAATCAGAGTTGACTCAACAGCCCCTAACACCAACAGTCATTAGCTCAGGTGGGAATGACCCTCATCTGATTTTCCACCACGCTAGATCATTCTTTCATACAAAGTGAGTTTACTGCCGTCTCTTTCACAAATTTTCATGATGTACCTAGTCAAACCAGGCCTTCATCCACTCTTCCAGATAGAATGCTCAATCTCTCAATAACTCTCATTTTGTTGACCTCATAGTAGTTAGCTCTTAGCCGCCATCCCTCCTCAGAATTGTAATCCTTGTGAAGGAAACTGATAAATTTGTGCTTACCCTCAGGCATATGTTTGGTAGGTACAGATTACACATCTGCTGAATGGCCAGAAGTGACTAGATATGGGTTTTTTTATTAATTAAAGCAAATCCTTTCTTTTTGACTCCAGAAGTCAAGCAAGTACCCAAGAGAAGACATCCCAGTGACAAAAGATGTCAATCTACTAGAACAATAAGAATGGTTTTACAGTGTAACAAAAGACATTCTTCAAGCAGAGGCACGAAGTAGTCCTCAAGCAGGCAGGGAGTTTAATTTTACACCAGAGAGAAGCTTTAGCACACAAAGATTCTAAAATTCTTTTTAGAATTAAAAACCAAACAATCAGACCACTCTGAAAGGGATTATAGTAGAAGATCATGAATAGAGTTGGGGAAAATGTAAAACAAAACCCAAAACATAAAAAAAGGCGAAGCTTGCTGGTCAGAGAGAGACCAGACCGGTGGAACCCTCGGGTCTATGTTTCAAGCCTGAAACAAGACCCACCCTGTAGATCAACTTGCAGCCAAACAATAGACAGACCTGATAGGTGAACCCCACCACAGGGAGACACTTACTCTTTGGAATATAAAGCTCAGAAGACATGAATAAGAATTATAGAGACAAAGTGGGATGGAATTGCAGTTATTGTCATTAATAATATAAAATGTATGTGGACTATTGAATGAAACACCAACTGCTTTATAAACATCCACTCAAATTACAGGTTTAAGGGAGAGAAAAAAGAAAAAAGAGGAGAGGGAAGGGGGGGGAAGTAACCAATCTAAGGGCCCAGGAAATATCAAATGAGCACTGCCACTCATATTTATCAGGCCAAAGCATCAAGGGAGGAAGAAAAGGGGGAGACACACATGCTGTTGTTCCTCAATCAGATCCTCCTTGTCCTCCTCCTCTTCTAAGAAAAGAAGTGTGTGAGGACAGGGGCTGGGGAGTCAGGTTTGTGGGCACATTTATCACATTCTAGCAGTGGTCTGAGAAGAGAGTGTTAAAGAAAGAATGGAAGGTATCTTCTGAGGGGGAGGGAAAGTTCACAAAAGTGTATGCTACCCCACGCCTAGTTCCTGAGGCTTACTGTGGAAACACTGACTTCCAGACTAGTTAACCGTGAGGAATGTCTCTAATATTTTTGTAGCATCTGAGTATCTGTGCTTAGATGTTTATCTGTGTGATTGATGTGCTGAATTAGTTGCAAAAGTCGCTCTTTAAAAGCAATCAAACAAGGAAAGATTTGAGAAAAGGCTTGTTAAAGCATCATGGTACTCATCCTAGAAAGCAGCTTTATGTCTTTCAGAGAAAGGAATGAAAGAGAAACAGCCTCATACCTCCATGCATGGCGTCGATGCGGATCTTGAGTCGGTTTGGCCCAGAAAGCAGTTCTTTCAGTGCATTGAAATCAAAGATGTTTCTCAGCATTGTGGCATAGGCTTCCACTGAATCCACAATTTCCACTGTGAAAACCAGCAACATCAAAAGATGAAATAATCAAACATTTAGAAATGTTACACTTGAAAATTAATAATATACTGTAATTGGGCACTGGTTATTTTCAAAGGGTAGTTATTGTGTAGCTTCAATATAGCAGGTGATTGCATGATAACTTATTCAATCCTGATAATTGTCCTGGGAGATGTAAGTTATTGGTCCTGCTTTATAGATAAGGAAGCAGATTTCAAGAGGTTTAAGTCAGCTGGCCACACAGCTAGTCAAGAAATGCTTTCTGACTAAGGATTGTCTGCAAACTCTTTGCTGCCATACTGCGTCTCTGCAAGAAGTGTGGTTTGTGTCTTCCATAATAGAAAAAGTAACATCTACTGCTCTTTTTCCTTTTTTCCAGGTTCACTGCCATCAACATTTAATGGTAAAAAGCAGGAGGAAAAAATTTAATGAATCATTTTTCATATACACTGCTAAAAATTTAAAACAAAGATTAAAAAAATACTGCTGTTGGATTTTTCGAGACTCAGAATATTTGCAAAACATGAAATGTTTAGGAAACTCTCTGGTGTTTTGAATCCCAAGAATGTCTTTGAGATGTACTAAAATGTCAGTATGCATCTTTGTCAAATGTGATTGTCAGCTCTTGATAATACGTTCAAGAGGGGGGAAACGCATTCCGTAAAATTGCAGTCTAGAGAAAAGAATACATGTTAGGGCGAAGTAAAAATGTAAATCATATTACTGAACAGCTCATTCTCATTTCACTCATAGGAATAAAACATTTTTTTCTTTCAATTATTATAGCACTTTGTCATTCAACACAAAATGTTAATAACCACACATAGGTGGGGCTTTTAAGTTCCCCTGTAAAAAAAAAAATAAATAAAATACTTGAGTCATTTGTTTTACCGAATATATGTGTAACAAAACACATCCACTGCTGTGGAAGTAATTCCAACTCATAGTGATCGTCCAACACATTTTTGAGGTGGTGAATCTCTAAAGCACTCTGGTAGCATAGTCGGTAGGGAATTGTCTGTGCAGCTAAACCAAAGATTGCTCTTCTCTAGTGGTTCCAATCCACCAGCTGCTCTAAGGGAGAAAGATGGGCTATCTCCTCCCATGTAATTTATAGGGCCTCTGAAAACCCATGGTCCACTATGAGTCAGTTCTGACATGACAAGAATGAGTTGAATGAAATCTTTATGGAAGGAGACACCCAATCTTTCTCCAAAGGAGCAGCTGAAGGATCCAAACCAATGATTGTTTGGCTCAAAGCACAATATGTAATGCTCTGCATCACCAGGGGAGGCATTCCTGTCCTCTTACTCTCTCTCTTTTTTTCTCTCTCTCACCCTCTTCCTCCCTTTTTTCTGTCTATAATTCTTTCACTTTATAATTTTTCCCCAAATATAACTGTATATACACAATGTCACATGAGTCCTTGTGGTATATACCCTGTAACATGTTGCAATGCTAACCCAAAGGCCATGCATCTCTTGTGGTTCAAATTCACCAATCACTTCAAGGAAAAAATGTGCTGTCTCTTTGTTAGCCTGCAAGCCTCAGAAATTCTGTGGAGGGACTCGATGACAGTTAGGTGTGTATCAAAGCCTTAGTTTCAGAATTGTGCACATCTGAGGTTGAATCCTTATTTTTGTCACTTACTGTGTCTGTGTAGGGAGCTCTGGTGGTTTAGAGATCTGAAGCTGTGCTGCAATCCTGAATTCCCCAGCTGTTCCCTGAGAGAAGGATGGGCAGTCCCTTCCTGTGTGTTTAACTCCCTCTGAAAACTCACTAGAAGGTCTGCTATGGGTTGGTTCCAACTCAAAGGTACACAACAACAGTTGTCTGTGTAACCTTTCACTTTTTATTTAACCTCTCTGAGGCTTTGCTTCTTTATCTTTAAAACCATAGTGCTATCCACACTGGACTAAAATAAGAATAAAACAGGGCAATGCACGTAAAACCTTGGCACTGAATAGGAGCTCGGTAAATGTTAGTAATGAATATAATCTTAGAGGTTTTCTTGTCAAGGTCATTTTTTCACAGTTGTAGGAATAGAGGCCCGGTGAGTTGGAAATGGCTTACCCAAGGCCATTGTGATCACCAGTAGGGTCTAGAGAGTCCAGGTCTCTAGACTTCCAGCCCCAGTGGCAGAAATGCTAATTAATAGCTGCAAAGCTTAGCAGACGAAATCCTTTCTAAAGCTGAAGACTTTCACTGTCACCTTGAGAGGCAAATTCTTCACATTGAATATGGGTGGGGGGGGGGGAGTAAACATGCCTGTGAAGGGTTTGAATTTGTTTTCCAGGTCAAACTGCTGCTTTCCCAAAACTCCAAGATCTACTTTCAGGTCAGGGCAAATTGCATACTCTTCAATTGTCTTGCTAATTTGGAAAATTTTATCAGTTATTGCTTCTGGAGCAGGACCTAGGAATTAAAGAGCAAACAGTGAGCCATGTTGTACTGTTGACATGAAAATAAAAAGAATGCTCATCCATTCCTCCTCACTAGCATAACCACCATCCCATCATCAGATAGCAAAGTATCAGAATTTCTGAAGGAAAACACCCCATCTGAAGTATGCCTCCTCATATCCAAATCCAAAAGGATACAAAGCATTTCAATTCCCTCTTTAAAGGTCAAGACTTGTAGGATGATTTCCCAAGGTCTCAATTACTGGTTTATCTTCATGAATATAAAATAGTCCTCAAAATAGCAACACTCTGCTCAGTCAAGGTGTACAGAAGACATACAAAGAACTTCTAACACATTCGTTTTACACAACCAAGACAAGGACAGAAAACGGGATGATCAATATTGTGCTGACCTTTTTATAAAAGGATTCCATTCTGTCTAATGACTTTTTAAAAGTATTTGTTATTGCTATTTGTTGACAAGGTGTCAGCACTCTCTCTCATTATTCCTATTTCCTTTCTATTGATCTAGTTTCTTCTCTTTGACTTCTCATCTTTGCTCTCGGATAAATGCCAACCAGTTGGTTTCACTCTTGATTGTTTATGAGAATACAGTACTCTTTGGTTACACTGTTTATTTTTATAAGCCAGCCTTATTTGACTGAAATGTAACCTGCACAAATAGCTTCATTATCACATCCAAAGACTGTTTTAGCATGACAAACTCAGGGATTCCTCCAGACACTATCATATCATAGGTCTGGCCTTTTTTCGAGTTTTGTTCTACATTTTCATTCCGTTCTATTCAGGACCTTCTACACTGACCCAGATTAGAACACTGAAGTGGTAGTGGTAGCTGGGAACCATCTAGATCTTCTGGTCTCAGATTAAAGAAGACTCTGGTTCATGTAGGCTATTACTCCTCTGAACTATTTTTCTTCTTTCAGTCTTTGGTTATATGCATTCTCTTGCTCTGTAAGTAGAGACGATTCTAGGCTATACTTTTTACAAGACCAGTTCACCAAATTGTTTGCCTTATAGAGCCAATGGTGGTTTTGAACTGCTGACCTTTTGATTGGCAGCCAAGTGCGTAACCATTGTACTCCCAGGACTACTTATAAAAGCATTTATCTCCCAGGGGGAGGGGGATGATGAACAAATAACAGCAGTCTAACCTCCATTAGAAATGTTGAATTTTATTCCAAAGTCTCCATTGGGCCCTCCTGGATTGTGGCTGGCTGTCAGAATGATCCCACCAATGGCTTTGATTTTTCTAATGATGCATGACACAGCAGGAGTGGAGAGGATCCCATTCTGTCCAATGACTAAGCGACCAATCTAGGAAAAGAAATCCAGAGTACACCTTTTAACATCAATAATTTAACAAGAGCTACCCACCACACAGAAACACCAGCACTACAGGTAGATGGACAAGAACATTTTCTAGTTGACTGGCAAAGACTTTCTTTTATGAACATCTACTGCTTGGATGTTCTCTAACATGTAATAGAAATAAGATTTAACATCGTTGAAAGGAGTCATTCCTTCAGATAGTATTTTGAGCCTGTGGTTTTAGAATAGCGTGCTCTGGTGATTATACAAGGTTCTATCAAGAAAGTATGTAGTATTTAAAACAGAGTCTTTCCATACTAAGTTTTCCATTTTAATGCATTGGGAAAATTGTGTATAGACCCACATTTTTGTCCAATTCAATCATCATTTCAATCCATGTTGGCAAAGAATATATAAATTAACTCGTTAAAAGGATTCTACACAAAGGGAAAGATTTTGTAAAATAAAATTACTTTCAAGCAAAAAAAAAAAGGTAAACTTCATATGAAGAATCTTATAAAATGCATTTATTATATACTTGTGTTTCCCATTAAGCTTGGATTTTCCTACAGTGGGTTTCTTTAAAGCAGAACTCTCCCACCCCTGTTATCTTGTACCTGAGTTACATCCTGAGCCTAAAGCAAGGAATGCTGGGAGTTATTACTGAGTAAACCAGTTGGAACCACCTACATGAAATATTTTTGTTGTGGTCTTAACTCACCTTCCCATATCACTCACAGATGATATTATCAGCACAGCTCCTAAATCTTTCTTTGCTAAAATGACAGTAATTTATATCTGTTTCAACATGACCCATGTTGGAAAAGAAGTAATGGATTCTGTCAGTTGTTCTGACATAACTGAAGAAGATGTGACTGCTACATAAAAGGACTTCTGAAATGGGAAGGTTGTGCCCTTCCCCCATTCTCCTTCCTGAGAGAAGGAAGAGAAAGAAAGGTTCTTAAAGTTTCCATTAGTTATTTCTTCTTTTTTTCTTACTCAGGATAAACATAGTTCAAGAAATGAATTGATGGTTCAGGTGCTGAAAACACCTGACCATGATGAGATACCTGGATTATCTGGAAAAAAATATTTGTTGATTACCTCCATCATTGAAAAGTTGACTTAAAATTCAACCTTCATTTCATCCAAGAATCCTTGTTGTATACTGGCTAAAGTGCTCAAGTGCTAACCAAAAGGTCAGTGGTTCAAAGCCACCAGCTTCTCTCCAGGGGAAAAGACCGGCCATTACAGTCTAGGAAATGCTACAGAGCAATTCTACTCTGTCTGATAGGGGCCTCTAGGGTCACTATGAGTCAACAAAAGGAGTCAACTCAACAAACAGTACAAGACAATAACTACCAACCACATCCTAGGAAGTTTTGGTTCATTTCTGCCACCTCTTGGATCTCATATGTCTTGGGATTACTACACTAATGTATTCCACCTCCCCTGTGAAAGGCTCATGATCAGGGTAGATGTTGTCACTAGGTTCCTAAATAGACTAGAGGAATATGTGTGGTATGAAAGCAATGTCAACAATCACTACTAGACTGCAGAATGCTTCCTACACTCCACAGCATGTTCAATCCATCCTCACATTTGCTCCTCGCAAGTGGTACTGCATGAATGAGAAGTGATGTTTGGACTTGTCAAGGCCTTGCCCATTGCATCATTCTTACATGCATCCAAAGGCAATAGTAACAGATATTTATGGAAAAGCTCTATATCAGATACAGGGATATACAGGTAGACAAAGTCATACAACAAATTAGAGGCCACATTGTTGTCATTATGTACCACTGACTGAGATCTGACTCATAGCTGGCCCTCCAGAAGTAAGTAAATTGCACAGGCAAAGAGTGACAGCTTTCTCCTCTTGAACAGCTGGGGATTTGAACCATGTGCCTTTGGGTTGGCAGTGCAACTCCTTATAACGAGGGAGTGGGAACTTTTACATTTCCTGACTCAATACAGTGGGAATGGTGACACCTCACCATTTGAGCAGTTTCCATAAGTAGTTCTGATCAGAATTAACAAACATGGTTCAGTAGCTGCAGAATTTCCATAGGAAGAACCTGGGGCCAGCAGTGGGATAATCCAATTAGTCAAAGATTTATTGTTATGTTTGAGTTGGAACTAACCCATAGCTGACCCTCCAGCAAGGTTTCAGAGGCAGTAAACTGCACAGGAAGAGACTGTCCATCTTTACAATGGGTGGATTAGCTGGTGGATTCAAATCACGTATTTTGAGGTTGGCAGTGTAGCTCCTTAGCCACCAGAGCGCTCTGATTAGCCAGAGGGACAGGTGGAATTATCTGGAAATTTTATTTGCATATAAAGTAATTCACTCACTATTCACTAGATTATAAATGCGGGTGTCAAAGGGTAGGTTGATTAATATTAAGCTATATCTCCAAGTCATTCCTTAATTCTACCATTCCATATGGTGTGATTTGGTCTCAGACTGAAGGGATTATATACCAGTGGATAAGAATGAGAAGGAAAGTCAAGGAAAAAAAGCAAGCAAAGTCAATGGTAGTTTCTCTTACTTGAGCCAAGGAAGGTACACATGGGCCACAGTACTCTCATTCTAGGGCAGACTCTCTTCCGTAGGACTCATCCTCTGGAATTTATGAACTTTAGTCTGATAATGGGGAGATAAAGTTTAATAATTCTTGAAGCGGCTCCTGACTCAAGCTCCATCTACACCTCCCTTGCTCTACTCAAGCTGAATAAGTCTCATCTACTCAGGCTCATTCAACTCATCTTTCTAAAACAAAGTTCCAACTCTTTCTCAACTTCTAAATGCCTGCCAAGTTAGAGATTACTTATTCCTTGAGTTTGACACCAAGAAACCCTCCCTCATCAGTCTCTCTTGCCTTTTCTTCTATCCCACCATACTTGAATAACTTACACCATGCTACCAAACAGGATACCTCTTTCTTTCTCCAGAATATTTTATAGTCAAATATCTCATGGCAAAAAAAAAAAAAGTTTAAATGTTCATTTTTTTAACAGATAGTTTAATTTGCTCTCCTGCTAACCATACACATTGATTCTACTCTCATGTCATCTAAGAGCTCTGGGGACTGAATGAAATATCTATATTCCAAATAGGGCCTCATCAGTGATTTATTTTGTATAATAAAACTTCCTTTATCTTCATACTGTGCCATTGAGTTGGAACGAACTCAGTGACCCTGCATGCACAGGAAAAGGTTACCTATCTCTGTCTCACAGAACAGTTGGTGAATTCAAACCCTGTACCTTTTGGTTGGCAGTGCAGCTCCTTACCACTAGGCCAGATAGCTCTGTGCAAACAGGGAAACTCAAATGGTAGTAAACCACAAAGAAGTTGTGCTGTGCATTGAAAAGCAGAGCCTCTGTGGTGGTTTCAATTCTTTAGTGGTTCTTGGGGTGGGGTGGGGGGACAAGAAAGATGGGCAACTGCCTCCAGGGCGATTTATAGCTGCCTTCCAAAAACCCACTGGAGGGTGAGCTATGAGTTGGTTTCAATTCAATGGCAAGGAGTTTGTGGTTTGAGTTTGAATCCATGCAAATACAAACAAAGGGAAATTTTAAATGAAAGTAGGATTAGTGTCTACAATCTACAAATATGCCAATAAAGATGTACTAACTGGAAAAATTAAGTGATCTCTATTTAGTTCATTAGGCTGATAAAGCCCAAAAATCTGCTCAAAAATGCTGTGGGGACTGAAAAGGTGAGGGAAGAACACTGCTTTCTACTAAAATCCGTGACAATAATTCTCGTTCTTTCCATTTTCTCCCTCTCGTCCTATCTTTGAGTAGTGATTAAGGATACAGTCCACAATCAAAGAGATTTTAAAACAGTAAGAACCTAGGATATGCATGAGGAAAAGGAGAAATCAAACTATGTAGGAATTGTCAGGTTTTATCAGATCAAAGTGCTTTACTGGTCTACTAACTGTTTTAAGTAATTCAGTTGAGTAGTAGCATGACTACTGCTTTAAATGTAAAGCTATTTTTAATAAGCCATGTCCTTGAAAAGAATTGAAAATATTGCTTAAGCTGCTGTAGCTCTAACAAATAGGCAGCTACCATATTTAGTCAATGATTATCTCTTAAATGTATTATTTAGCAAACCTACAATCGTAAATCTGAGAAAGTCTACAGGGTCTGCCTGAATTACACATTCCTTCCACCTCTTCCACATCCTTCAGCTCTACACAAAAATGAAATGAAGCCAAATATATCACAGCAAAGGGGACAGTGTACTAGATCCACTCAACAGCCGGGATATATGCAGAGAAATAATGTCCCGTTCGCTCTCTTTCCAAAGATTAAAAGCATTTTAATATGATTCCCTTTATAGTGCCCCTCAAACATGAAATTTACAGCATGTCACATTTTATCTTGAAAACATGTTTGCTTCATAATAATTTCATGTTTGAATGCTTTATCAGCAATTTTAGCTCTAGAGGCATTCAGATTCTGAGACTGAGTATCAACAGAAAGCTCTCACCAAAAAAACCAGGACGTTCCCACATACTTTAAACTTGGTTTCCTGGTACAGGTTTGGCTTGGTTTTGTTTTCCTTCTCGTTTGGCTTCTGTAATTGCACCTGCTTGGCTTATTAGTAAAACAGATTGAAAATGAATGTATATTCATTTTCAATGCTCAATGTTCACTTTCAATGCTCAATTTTATGTTCCCAGAACTCACATCCCTTCCCTTCTCCACCTCCACTTCAATTTCTAGGTATTGAAGGGCTGTGTGCTCTATTTCTAAACACTGTCTTTAACATGAAAAATATACTTTAGGTCTCGCAGTGAAATTGCCAAAGTATAAAACAGCAATACCCTTCCTGTAAATCAGGGAGTGCTGTAAATCGTTAGATTATCAAGACCAATGCTTTCTGGTGCAATTGTCCTGATTTGGTTAATCTAGGCAGCAAGATTTTGACAATGCAAAGCTTTAACACACCCTCCTTATATCACAGTTTCACAGGCACTATTATCTCTACCCAGTTGCATGCACAAAAGCACAGCACACAGGGCTCCTTTGTGTCCAACGTCATTATAAGCAGGTTCCCCTGTAACAGGTCCTTCTGGAAGGCTCACACCTAACATTTTACAATCCCCTCTTATCATAGCTGCACAACTACCAAGATCCATAAACAACAGCATGCCCTGGCTTTTGTTTCCTTGTTTGACAAGTGACTGAACTTCAACAAGGAAGCCTTTGAAAGAAAACAAAACCCTCCCCTCTCCACCTCTCATTAGAGTTCTGTACATAGGATACGGTGCCCCTTGAGCTAGTTAAGACTATAGATAGGACAGCCTAAGACTGGGAAAGGGTTTCAAGTGTCTAAAAAGCAACAGGTACTTTTCAAGCAGCAGGGACAGATCACAATACACAAGCAATTGAACTTGCATTCCTAAATCTGCTAACAGAGGTAAGGTAATCCCGGGAGTACTTTCACAAAACACAAACCCTGAGGTCACAGTGAAATTTAACTGTATGTTAGTAGAATTGAGATTGCATATAAGGACACCACACACATATCCTGCACTTTTGTATATTTCTGCAAAATGAAGAGATAATTGGGAGAGTCAGAAATGTAACAATAAATATACCAACCCCATTGGCAGCAGCCATCTGCACTATTGTTTCTATTGCGGATTTATTAAAATACCTCCCATCTCCACCAACCACCAGTGATGATCCCTGGCGCTCTTTTAGGTCTATGGAAAAAAATATACTCTGGAGGAAATTCTCCAGATAGCAAGGCTTTTCCTCAAAGTAATAGGTTTTCTTCCGTAATCCACTAGTTCCTGGTTTCTGGTCATTGTAGGGAGCCGTAGCAAAAGTCAACAGCGGAAGAGGACCTTCTTCCATTTGTCCATATTTCCCGGAAATCCATTCATCAAAATCACTCATCTTTCATTTCCACCACTTGGCTCAGAGCATGTATCCAGAAAGCCGTCAAGGGTCCCCCAGACAGTCTATCAAGACTGAAGCTGCATTGGTGCCATCTGAGAGACTAAAATAGAGGTTTTGCCTGGACGATCACTCTCCACAGGAAAAGAAGCACCTTTAATTCCTTGTGATTGTCGCCTCGTATTTTTTTTTTATAAAAGGCCACATACCCACTCACACCCCAACGCAGAGCAAATTTTCAAAGTTGTTTTGATGAGAACACTTCTGCCCACATATCCAAGACAAATACCCTTCAATTATTTTTGCCTCATTTCCCCACTAGGGTGGAGACAGCTCCAGAGGGTGTTGCAGGCAGCTACTTCTGTTACAAACAACAGATGGCTGCCAGACTTCACTCCAGGAGACCAGGCGAAGCACAGTGGTTCCTGTCCACAGAAGCAGATTCGTGAACAGGACACCCTGGGGTGGCTCTCACTCCTCCTGCCACTTCTTAAACCAGAGACTCTCTGCGCATTCATCATGGAGAAGGCCATCTGCAGCTAGAGTTGCCCCATGCCATCTAGCACGTTAAAAGGTCAATCTTTAAATGGAAGTGAGGGATCTCGGTTACTTCAGGGTTCTCGGCATCACTGTCATTTTGAAATCCAGGGATTTTTCACTTCCCATATAATATTCGAGGTAGAAGGGGGGGGGGAATAAAACCTCATCTAATGGGATTGATACATTCATTAATCCCCAGCGATTTAATTTTAAAAACTGCTCAAATCTAGAATCGGCTACTAGGATGGTCCATATTGCTTTTAGTTGCTACTAAATTGAGCTGATTCCAACTCCTGGTGACCCCTGTACCAAAGCCGAACTGCCTATAGTTTCTAAGCCTTTCAGAAGCCAATTGCGATGGTTAGCTGCAGATCACCAAGGGAACATCCCAAAGAGCCTCTGAGTGGATTTGAACCACCAACCTTCTAGCTAGTAATCAACTGCTTAAACTTTTATACCACTGGTATTCCAAAGAAGACCAGTGTTTTGTTTTTTAAATGTATAATGAACTGAAGGTGAGAAAGCACAAATTTTGAAAGTGTAAGCCAAACAGTGGTGGAAAGGAGTGGAGCTTGTTCTAATTATACGAGACTTACTCAAAGTATGGTTCAGAAAGTAATAGTATGAGTGTAAGAGTAAATGTTTATAGATTGGTGGTGTTTTTTTTGTGGGTTTGGTTCCCCCCCCCCTCAGTCTCAAATAGACTTGGCTCTTAAGAAACAATTTTTAGTTAAATACTTTTAAATGTTTGCATTTGAAGAACCTGAGAGGTTTAAAAATATTTTACCTGAATGAACTTCATAGTCAATCCCATTTTAACCCTCAGAGTTTATTACAATATAATGTAGTTATAATGTATTTAATGTGCATGTTCTTAATCAAGTTAGTGAAGCTGTGCCAACAAAGAAGTTCCATTATCAAAGGTTTAGTAAACTTGGTTACAAATGCTTAAAAACACACCAGGATGCACTCACTGCATGCTTTGGGATTGTGGGGTGTAGTGAGGAGTTAAATGTTTTCAAGGGAAAGGTAACCATTTGAGAAATAAACTCTAACTATTTTTTCTACAAGTGTGTTAAGGGTCAAAAATGAATAGGCAATTTGAGCAAGCAACTGCCTTTTCTGTGGTAAAAATGCCCCAGTGTTCCAGGAGCTGTTACAGGTTATTAAAAAAACACATCCTAGGGGAGCTCTGGTGGCCTAATGGCAAAAAGCTACACTGCAATCCCAGAGATGCACAGTTCAAATCCACCAGATTCTCTGCTGGAGAAGGGGGGGGGGGGCAATCTCCTCCTGTACCAGTTAGATCTGATTTGACGGTACACACACAAAAAATAATAAAATAAAAAAAAGAGCAAAGTAGCCTTGACAAATAATTAAAAAAACACATCCTAACTCTTGATACCTTTGAGCTGTGGTGTTGGAGAAGAGTATTGAATGTACCATGGACTGCCAAGAAAACAGATTTATCCTAGAAAGGGTTAAACCAGGCTGCTCCTTGGAGGCAAGGATTCTGGGGCTTCGTCTGACATACTTTGGACATGTTGTAAGGAGGGACAGATCCTTGGAGAGGGACATCATATTTGGGAGGGTGGAGGGACAGAGTAGGGGAGGAAGGCCCTCTGTGAGGTGGATTGATTCAGTGACTGGGGTAATCGGGATGGGTGTGTCAGAGGCAGTGCAATTGGCACAGGATAGAGCAGGATTTAGGGCTATTGTACATAGGGTCGCTATGAGTCGCAAACGACTCGACGGTACATAACAACAACAACAACAACTCTTGATAGCATTGTTGGTGTTAGGTGCCACTGAGTTGAAAAACATTCACAGTGACCCTATGCACAATATATCTGAACCCTGTCCTATCTTGTGCCATCCTCATCATCTCTGACATACTAGAGCTCATTGCTGAAGTCACTCTGTGAAAGCATCTCGTTGGGGCTCTTCCTATTTTTTGCGGACCTTCCTGTACCTTGTTTACCTGTCCAAACATCATGCCCCTTTCCAAAGAATAGCTTCTTCTAGTAACATGCCCAGAGTATGTAAGATGAAGCTTCATCATCCTGGCCTCCAAGGAACACTCTGGCTACACTTTTCTAAAGATATATCTGTTGTTCTTTCAGCAGTCCGTAGGCACTCTTCTCCAACACCACCAAAGGCATCAAGTCTTCTCCATTCTTTTTATTCATTGTCCAGCTCTCAGACGCACAGGAAGGTAGTACATAGTGAGTTGTGTTGCTTATCCAAAAGCTGTGCATCTCTCCCTGTTTGAATCCAGGAGCAGCTCCATGGGAAAAAGACAGGCAATCTCCTCCCATTGCTATTTATAGCCTTGGAAACAGAGTGGAGGCTCTAAGTGAGTCACAACCCTCTTGACAGCAATGAGTCTGAAGTGGTATTTTGGGGGTCGGGGTGGGAGTGGAGATTTGGTTAACCTCCAGTACTGGTGAACATGGCCTTATGTGTCTTTGAAGATGTTTTAGGCTAACATGAGACCATGCTGGAGTGATGTGAAAATGGTGTCATATGAAAGAGAGAAGAGACACAGAGACAAACTCAAACTCACTGCAGAGGAGTCAGTTTTTATTCGTGGTGACCCATAGTAGGGTTTCTGATGCCATAAATTGCAATGAAAGGAGACCGCCCATCTTTCTTCTGTAGAATCGCTGATGGATCTGAGCTGCTGGAGACACTTCACCTTTTGGTTAGCAGTGAAACATGCTTCCCACTCCACTACCATGAACTCTACAGAGACAGAACAGTGTGGCCACAGAGTTACAATGCAGCTGCAAATCAGGGACTATCTGGGGTGACCAGATGCTGTAAGAGATAAGAAAGGCTCATCCTCTTCCAGCCTTTGGATGGAACATGGTCCTGCAGGTTCCCTGAATTTGGACTTTGAGCCTCTAGAATGGAGACAATAACTTTTTCTAAGCCACCTATTTTTGTGATGGTTTGTACTAAGAGCCCTAGAAATCTAACGCAGGTTGTCTGCACAAGACTACAGGGCTGAACAGAAGGCAGGCCACTGGCAAATGGCCTCAGTCCCCATCAAATGACAAATGGGATTGGCTCATGTGCATGGAAGACCTCCGGATGTAACATTCAAACAATTCTCAAGACAGGGCTATTAAGTTAAACATCCGTAGGCCAAAATATAATGACTTTATATAGCTTGTTTTGGCTCTTATTTCATTTCAAAACTAATTTTTAAAAAAAAAAATTTTAAGTATATGTGAAAAGAGAGTTAGTGATTCAGACGGCAGGAAGGAGTAGCAAAGCTAAGCGAATGGAAGCAGGGTGGGAATGAGGAGTGCTCACACGTTGAGGCGGCTGCAGCCTCTGCCACAGGACAATCTTTGTGAACTGTTGAGTGGGAAACGAATTTGCTTTGTGAACTTTTACCCAAACCACAACAAAATGTTCACAGGATCAATAGAAAGAGAAGTTTGTTTTATGAACAGTAATTTATACACCCATGGTTTCTTTCTTTTCTTTTTTTAAATTCACTACAAATGTGTTTTCGTAAATCATACTAATAAAGTTCTGTGCCAGGTTTCCTTTGTTTTCAGAGAGATTTGCAAACTGGGCCAGCATATGTGCTTTGACATATTCAATAATAGATACAGATTTATGTAACAGCAACACAATAATCACTTCACTGGGAATAACAGAGCAACCAAGCAGATAATTGGGAGCTTTCTTAATGAGGTCTTTAAATCCCACGGCAGACTCAGAAGCATTTGGGCACAAGGTTCTCCTACACGTCCATGCAAGCTGCTCTGTTCACTCAAAGCCCCACATTCCAACATCATTCCTGCTGATGGCCTGCCTCTCTCCCTGAGCGCTCTGACGGTGGGACTTGTTGGGTCCCATGGAGTCAAGTATGACTCACAGTGACACCATGAACGACAAATCCAAATCCTGTTCCTGCGTCATGTTCATCATCTCTAACACACTAGCCCATTGCTGCACTCACTGTGTCAATCCATCTTCTGAGAATCTCCCTTTCACTAACCCTCTACCTTTCTAAGCATTATGTCCCTCTCCAATAAAGTCTTTCCTAGCAACATGCCCAAAGTATGTGAAGTGAAGCTTTGTCATCTTTGCCTCTGAGGAATATTCATCAGGAGAATAATGTTTTGAGTACCCAACCATTATGTGCCTGGCATGGTTTTTGTCAGTACACAAACCTATTTCAGTTGCTGGGGGATGTGTGTGTGGGGGGCGTGTGTGGAGAAAACCATAACTCTTGCCTTGGAAACACTTCATATTTAAAAGGGCCTGAGTCATAATTTTATGGACACAATAGAACTCAACTCCATATAAAAATATTACTAGAAGCAGCAATGTTAGATGGACTGTTAAGTGGGGTTTAAAAAAAAAAAGAAGAGGCATTAAAAACATTAAGCTTCGTAAGACGCATAGACTAAGTGGAGCGCCTATTAAGAATCTCATTTGTTTCAGCTCTCCAACAAAGGTTGAACTTCATCTTCAGAAACGTTACTGTCGAGCATAGCGGACCCAATTTGGCCTAATGAATTCACCAGCATTGCCAGTACTCCTTCACAATGACACAAATTACATTTAAACCATATGGGGCAGTTAAGGATTACTCCCTTCAGACAAGGGACTTTCATATCGGTCTTGGGTCTAATCAATTTCACCCTGGCAGAGTTATGAACCCCTTTGCGTCCAGCTTCATAGAGTC